GCTGATGTCTAATATTGATATCTTAATAATGGGAGAGCCTGAACTTTGATACTTCCCTCTGGCCCCTCTCCAGAGTCAACAGCCCTGCTCTTGCTGTTGTGACTGGCCCAGTTACCGGGCTCCTGCTGTTGTGACTGGCCCAGTTACCGGGCTCCTGCTGTTGTGACTGGCCCAGTTACCGGGCCAAGTTGAGCCCCGGGAGGAGCTGGAGGAAGTCCCAGGGAAGGGGTATGATAATAAGACCTATTATGTGGTTAGATGAGGAGTTTACTGGTTGTTGTTAGGGATGTTTCTGCTCTCATTCCATGTTACGTATTAGTATAGTGAAAATAGTTTATTATCTAACAATTATTTGGTACCTTTACAGGTGCAAAGGCTTTTGGGCATAATGACACACCAATAATGTAAGGATTGGTATTTAATTAATGCAGGCCCAACATCGGAACATGTATTGCATGGGAGGAGTCTTGTTTCCATAGAGAACTTTTCCTAAATGTAGACTCAATATTCTGAAAATCATTCAATGCATTAGTTCTTTGGCTTTTGTTATGAATTTGTAAAATGATTGTGTAATACACATGCAATAACCCAGAAGCACTACTTCACTGTGAATTAGCGCCTCCTACTGGTCAATGGTCAACTGAGCCATACGCAAAACCCACTGACCATCTCAACACAGAGATACTTTATTATCTGCAACATCTGGTGCACTACTTACGCACGATACACTGGTTGCCCCCGGGCAAGGTTTTCCAGCCTGGACAACAGTAGGAGTGGAAACGAGTTCCACACACATTGGGCCTATAGGGAAGGAGATAGAAGCAACACTGTTGTAAATAATCATACTTGATTAAGAACTGCCATTAAGAAACGTCTGGAGAGGGAAATTAACAATGGTTAGTTACGAATCAATTTCACACCATCTTTTTTTTATGTGAAACGCATCTGGTGATCGTTGAGAGTAAATGGTTGACACAGAGCGACACATTTTAATCTTCTCTATTTAGATAAATAGAGATGTCGAAGAAGAGATACATACATTTTATTAATTGATTTCCTCAACTATTCCCCACTCATATAGTATATTCATCTCAGATGAAGAGATTAATATTAAACATGCAATTCTACTGATGTTATGTTTGTCTAACATTGGTATTTTGACAAACATTTGAAATTGGTATGGGGTTATTATGGTGGGTAGGATTTCTACCTTCAGTGTATGACATCAAATAATATAATAATAATAAACAAACAGTCTATGCTGCTAATTAAATAATTTGTTTTTTGTATTGTCAATTAACGTTACTTTGAGGTGAGCAGGTTCGGTGTAGAGGTATCATAATTTCTTTCAACTTCAAATTCTGTTATTCTTACCCTCGTAGGGATTCTTGCTTTCCTCTTCTCCTCACTCGATTTGAGGCAGCCGTCTGATCTCCATCCACCTTCATAAGCGTTCTCCCCCCGAGCGTCGGAGGGTCTTGCCCTGTAACTTTCACCATCAGAAAACCCGTCAACACCACCAGTCCAACCAAGCACGAAAAAGTCCTCTTGGTCAACATCCTTAACAAACTCCTTGTCTAATTTTCCAATGTAAATGTGTTGTTATTTAATCCGGGGGAATGAATCTCAAGAATGGCTACAAAGAGCGCATTTTCCGCTATCGCCTATACCTGCAAATACATTAAGTTCAATAAAAACGTCACTGACACAAATACAGTTAAGAAAGAAAAATGTCGTGTTGCCTCTCGAGTTTCAAAGACGGTCCTGTAACGTCACAGCGGGAAAGACACAGAGGAGGTCTGACTGAGAAGCACCCACAGATTTCAACGGAGGTGTATTGAGATACGCCACTGTCTCCACAGCCCAAGAGACAGACTCTCTCTTGAGAGTACCGTTCACTTGCCTAACGACTGTTTACATGCTGACAGCTACGAGCTGTTGCATTCAAACGCCACAAGTTGACAGAGCATTTGGAGAAAAGACACCAACACAAATAAAGTTGTTGATATGCAGAAAAAAAACAGAGAAAACATTTTCACAGATTTGTTTCTGTGTTGTAACAGCCTGTTATTCGTTGGCTAGTAAAGACAACCTGTCATTTCTACTAAGTACTATCCAAGTAGCTTGAAAATGTGTTTCATTTGCAGCATAAATAGTAATGCTTTGACGTTACAATTTAGCCTATAGTTTATAAATAATGAGTTGTAAATGTAATTGGTTTAAATTAAGTTAATGACAATTTAAACATACAGTATTCTCAGTTCTGTGCATTTAAACATAGTGTTATTGGACAAATAGATAGACTTGCGGTGCACAGTATTTTTTCATGAGCAGCTCTTTACATGCTCTTCCGTAGTGTAATCTGTAATTTCCTCATCTCTCATGCAGGTTGTTTGGTTCCCCCCCGGCATTTGAAATTAAAGTACCGGTATACCTCGGTATTTCCTGTGTGGCAATCCGGAAGACATGTTAATTAATGACTCCGCTATTAGTTTGGACATGATTTAATGTTTTATCTTACATGCGCTCTGGCTATATTTAACACAAATTAGTGATATGGTTGTCAGTATATGTCAGTGTATAGAAGTGACGTTCAGGTGATGTTTTCAAATACGGCACAGGTAGAGAATAGTGTGTTTTAGTGCCCCTTAGCGGTGGCGGTGCACAACTACATATAGGAAAGTACATTATTTTAGAAATATATACTTTGCATACAATCTCGTCCCCAGCCTGGCGATTTCAATATAATCTCGTTCCCAGCCTGGCGATTTGAATATAATCTCGTCCCCAGCCTGGCGATTTGAATATAATCTCGTCCCAATCCTGGCGAGGTGATTAAGCTACTTTGCATATATCAAGGGTTCTCAAACTCATTTCCTGGAGGAGGGCCTAGTGTCTTGTTTTTAGTTATTTCCGTTCAATTCGCGTACAATTAAGAGTTCCTAATTAATCAATGACCATAATTTATCAATCAAGTACAAGAGAGGAGCGAAAACCTACGGACACATGGCCCTCCAGGTATTGGGTTTGACACTCGTGTCATATATCCTCAAAGTGGGTCACAGGTCCCAAATATCATTTAGCAAAACACCATCACACTGGAACTACATTTTGTAAAATATTTTTTGTTATTCTGTGGTAGAGAAATACAGTGACAAAAATAACAGATATTAAATAGGTGATATAACTTATAATTCTTATGACAAACGTGTTAGAACAACTTGTTCTATTGTCGTCTTGACTACAGGGCATTACAGTCCATGTTAGCAATAATGCAAACGTATGTTTTATCAGGGAATAACCACATTTACAGTGAGGTGAAATAGCAAGACACACACACACACACACAGCAATGGAAATATGGTTTACATCCAGTGAAAGGAATGTTATAAGGTACATACTTTTTTTTTTTTTTTATCAATCAATGTCAGACAGTATTTATCAGTGTTTCATGACATCACTTTAAACAGGATGTAATTTTTGTAATGATAATAAGCAGATTATGTCCTAGCACTGTCTCAAAAACAAAGGGACTGGGAACAGAATGGTGGTTGACAAGAGTACATGTTATAACACAACGTTTAGGATGACTGGAGCTATTAGCGTTGGAATGCTATCAAAACATGTAAAAAAGGCCAGAAGAAAGGCTGTATATATTTACATCCATCAGAAAATGAATGGTGGCGGACGGTGGTACGCTAACCCCACGTCAGCTTTTATCCCTTTCCCTAACCCTTACCATAACCTCACTGAAACGATACCTAACCTTAACCTAACCCTCTTCCTAAACCTAACCTTAATCAATTTAACCTTAATTAATTTTGACCCTTATGCCTAAACTTAAGTTTTCCTTCCAGAATGTCAGGATGCAGATATGTACGTTTCACTAAAGTGAGTCACCAGTGTGCTGTTATTATAACATAGTCATCATAACCACAAAACTAATTATGTCTATAAATGTCATATATATATATATATATACACATACACACATATACACACACTCAATATATTCACATAAAACCTATGCAATAATCTAATACCTAATCATAAACACAAAAAATAACCACGGAAGAAAGTCGTTCTCAACGTTATCTAGTCTCTGTAAAAAAAACTGGGCCTACATACAATATGCCGGTCATTATTCAAATGGCACCTAGTAGTCAAGCAAAAGTAGCTCTAGTTTCTGAAAGGTCTAAATTTATAGAAAGCAGCTATGGATTAAAATGGTGGGATTAACTGGGTTTGTTTCCTATTTCCTGCTCAGGTCCCGCTCGCAAAAGAGGTTTCTAACCTCAAGGGTCTTTTCCTGGTTAAGTAAAAGGTTAAATAACATTTGCCGTTTGGCTTTGATAAGAACTAAACCACTGTGGTCACTCTTGATAAAACCAGCTGCAAGTCCTAAAATCATTAACTCATTACCATAACTTAATAGCTTTGTAAAAAAATACTTATGGCTTGAAGTTGCTCCTGACCATGTGACTTGACCAGGAAAAACTCCAAGTCCTAATTAGGGGATATAATTAAGGCCCAGAGTTGTGGACAGGAAAAGACAACTGCAGGTCAAGCTTTAGGGGTTAGCCTGACTGAAACATGGTATGCTGATCAGCATGTGATGCCACATAGGACATAAAATGAAATTACATTTAAATTCAATTAGATGTAGCCAATCTTTTCATTACATTTTGGGATTGAGGCCTGCATATTCTCCTAATGTACTATCTAGCATTACATAGTACACAATGGACGGTGCAAAATATGGACTCTTTTTGGACCACTTTTGAGGTATTAATGTTTGGGTGAACTATGTGGTTTTGCTGGCTCAGGTGCAAACTGTAAGTTGCTTTGGATAAAAGCATCTGCTAAAAAATGACCATATTGTATAATCCCTTAATGGAAACTAAAATTCAATATATAAACCTGTTATATCAGAAATACACTTTTCTGTTTAGTCCTGCTGAATTCACTGTCAAACTGTTGCAGTCCATTGACTCAACAGTCTAGAGGCGTATCTTTCCGGAGACAATGTCATCATGCAGAGACTGAGTAAGTGGGACGTAGTCTCTCTGGGATAGGTCCAAGAAATACAGGGACTCCTGGACGGCCTCAGGGCTGAAGCCCTCCTGCACCAACTTCTTCTTCTGCTGCTTGAAGGTCTCGGTCACATCTATGGATGTCTTCGGGAAGACAAAGGACAGAGTTTATGTTGAAAAGGGTCAGGGGGGTTAAATTGTAAATGCTCTACGTGATATACAAAGGGAGTTGAATGGATCTTTCTTTTTATTGTGAATGTTTTAAACTATCCCTTTAAAAGGTTATTGTATTGAATGCATAGCATAGTTTTAATAAGGTTTCTGCAAAGACAAGAACAAACTATTTCATCGATTTATTAATATACAGCACTACACTCCAGTACCGCCGTATATTTACATTATGTATAAATCGCTCATTACTTTTAAAAATAAGTTTCAGTTTTGCGTGGGTGAATTTTACCCTGAACGGACACGTGTGGTTTCAGGATTGTCTCACCTGGATCCGTAGAAACCAGGGCCATGAGTAGGTGGGGAGACTTTGGACCAAATGGTTGTAGAGTTTTTTACCATCCAGATGTTTGTCTATCTTTAAGACGACGGCTGCCATACCCGCTCTGCCTTCATAACCTGTATAGAAACAGTAAGGATGATGTTACATGCCAACTCAGTGGACTTGTGGTTAGGGTGTCTGCCCTGAGATTGGGAGCTTGAGCCCTGACTGAGTCATACCAAAGACTGTAAAAATGGGACCTGTGTCTCTGCTTGGCACTCAGCATTAAGGAGATGGATTGTGGGTAAGGCCCTGTGATAGACTGGAGTCCTGGGGGTGTACCTGTACATCAAGCTTCCTCCTATGAGGTCGTGCAAGGCTACTTCTAATGTCACATACATGTTGTTTTAATGTATTTCACCAAAATGTAATGTGATCCTATCTTCACCAATCAGTACAGTTGACACAGTGTGGGCCGAGGCAATTTTACAAAACTAATTAGGTAACGTTATATGCAAGTATAACGCATATCATGCGGTTTGCATTGCATTGAAAGACGGGGGTACTAAGCATGTACGGGCTCCCGAGTGGCGCAGCGGTCTAAGGCACTGCATCTCAGTGCTTGAGGAGTCACTACAGACCCCCTGGTTCGATTCCAGGCTGTATCACAACCGGCCGTGATTGGGAGTCCCATAGGGCGGCGCACAATTGGCCCAGCGTCGTCCGGGTTTGGCAGGTGTAGGCCGTCATTGTAAATAAGAATTTGTTCTTAACTGACATGCCTAGTTAAATAAAGGTTTAAAAAAAAATTATGAACCCGAGAGTCAGATAAACATTTACATAATTTAGCAACTTCCAGGAGGAACCAGGGTTAAGTGCTTTGCTTAAGGGCACGTTGACAGATTGTTTTACCTAGTCAGCTCTGGGATTCAAACTAGCAACCTTTCGGTTACTGGCCCAATGCTATTAGCCGCTAGGCTAGCTGCTGCCGTATAATATTTTGTAGTAAGACATTTTGGCCTGCATATTCATTTGCCAAAAAAAGGTGCTAAAATGGTTCTATAATAATGATTCTACTAAACTGAAGTTATATAGGCAAATATTTTCAACATTTACATTTTTTTTACATTTACGTCATTTAGCAGACGCTCTTATCCAATATTGCTCTGCCCCATAAAATAATGAATTACCATAATCCATTTATTTGTATTAAAGATGTCAGCAAATACTATGATGATTTGGCACAGTGACACCATATACGTATTAATGATGTCAGAAAGGACGTTGATGACCTGGCACAGTGACACCATAGACGTTCACTTCCTGCAGGAACTCCAGACTTCCGAGAATCTCTGAAACTTCTGTGGTGGCCACATTCTCTCCTTTCCACCTAGGAGGAAGAAATCTGTTGTTTAATTTACGATATACAGAAATATTCAGCACATTTTTGTTGGTGTCTTGAATGCTAGCTATGCAACAGACAGCATGATGGGAATGAGTGAGTGAGAGTGCTAGCATAATTATTTATTAGATAGGGGTCGACATTTATTCATCTAACCTTTTGGGGAGGTAACAATAAGGACATTTTATATATTAATCTAATGAATAGATTGAATTATTTACCTAGATTTGTGCAACAATACATTTAATCAAATAACATATTTACAAGTCATAGTCCTTTCAGCCTGTCCTATGTTAAACACTAGATGGCAGAAACGTGTAAGTAGATACTGGGTTCAACTGCAAGCAGCCTCAACTGAAAGACACACGAGTGCTCAGTCAGAGACACACGAGTGCTCAGTCAGAGAGACACGAGTGCTCAGTCAGAGACACACGAGTGCTCAGTCAGAGACACACGAGTGCTCAGTCAGAGACACACGAGTGCTCAGTCAGAGACACACGAGTGCTCAGTCAGAGAGACACGAGTGCTCAGTCAGAGACACACGAGTGCTCAGTCAGAGAGACACGAGTGCTCAGTCAGAGAGACACGAGTGCTCAGTCAGAGAGACACACGAGTGCTCAGTCAGAGAGACACACGAGTGCTCAGTCAGAGACACACGAGTGCTCAGTCAGAGACACACGAGTGCTCAGTCAGAGAGACACGAGTGCTCAGTCAGAGAGACACACGAGTGCTCAGTCAGAGACACACGAATGCTCAGTCAGAGACACACGAGTGCTCAGTCAGAGAGACACGAGTGCTCAGTCAGAGAGACACACGAGTGCTCAGTCAGAGACACACGAATGCTCAGTCAGAGACACACGAGTGCTCAGTCAGAGACACACGAGTGCTCAGTCAGAGACACACGAGTGCTCAGTCAGAGACAGGAGTTGAGGTGAAAGCAAACCTCACCCTGAAAGCATGTAAGTGATTTCAGCTAGCTAAGAGTAAGACCATTAGACATCCATGCAGATTTTGCATTATCAAAAAATATCAAAATAATTCAGTAACACGTTCTTAGAGCCACATTTTTGCCATGCATTATAAACACATGACAGAAATGTATGAATCTCTTATAAAAGAACCATGAGCTAGAAATGAATGCTTATAGCATGTTTTATTCATATCACCACCTGTGTTTAATGCATTACGCATGGACCTGTAGCCTTTAGCCATTTATAAAGGCTGCTAAAATGAGCTGTGAGCTGTTATGAATGTTTATAGCAAGGTCTTACAATGCACTAAAAGTGTTTTACTAAAAGTGCATTCATAATGCGTTATAAAAAGGTGAATCAAAAGGTGTTACCCATAATTCACCTTCCACTGTACCATACTGTATGCCAAAGCATGATCTTCCACAGGGTGAGCTGTACCTCCCATTTAAATGATCTTCCACAGGGTGAGCTGTACCTCCCATTTAAACGCAAATCTCCAGTTATGATGAACTAACAGAGAATTCACCTGATTTTAGAAGAATCAAAAATGGCCTCCCGAGTGGCACAGCGGTCTAAGGCACTGAATCTAAGGCAGTGCTTGAGGCGTCACTACAGATCCGGGTTCGATCCCGGGCTGTGTCGCAGCCAGCCGCGACCGGGAGACCCATGAGGTGGCGCACAATTGGCCCAGCGTCGTCCGGGTTAGGGGAGGGTTTGGCCGGGCCGGGATGTCCTTGTCCCATCGCGCTCTAGCGACTCTTGTGGCGGGCCGGTCGCCTGCAAGCTGACACGGTCGCCAGTTGTACAGTGTTTCCTCCGACACATTGGTGCGGCTGGCTTCCAGGTTAAGCGAGCAGTGTGTCAAGAAGCAGTGCGGCTTGGCAGGGCCGTGTTTCGGAGGACGCGTGGCTCTCGACCTTCGCCTCTCCCGAGTCTGTACAGGAGCTGCAGCAATGGGACAAGACTGTAACTACCAATTGGGGGTAAAAAAGTAAAAAAGTTTAAATAATAATCATCTAAAGTTCTTCATACCTTCATTAAGTCCATATTCCATGACATCTATCAGGCCTCAATCTCAAATATATTGGAAATATTGTCACTAAGTTAAATGATTACCTTCAAGGTATGGAAACATTTTGGTGGACTATCCCTTTAATACAATTTAACTGAGTAAAGTCCGTAATACTGTATGCCTTCTTAAATACATTTAAAGATTCCAGCTATTCATATTACCACGCTATTCACTTTAAAATATTCTGATTGTAAATTATTATTTTAGAGGTTAAGAAACTTAACGTCCCAATTCTCTGCATTATTTTGACAGACAAATACTATGCAATTGCTTGGGGGGGGGGGGAGACAGCAGGCACAAACGTACACACATGCAGTACACCACAATCCCAAAAGACTTGCAGTCTTCAAGGTAGCGCAACAAAGCAGTTATGTGGACCATTGCCCAGTCCTGCGTCATACTTGGGTACTCGGGCAGTACTCCAAACCCTGCCAATGCGCTGAGGGACGGGGAGACAAGCGATGGCATTGTGACACGGGGACGCTCCCCGAAACACTTCACCCGGCAGAAGCTTTTGACCTGCCCCCTAACAAGCCTCTTGTCCCTCTAACCATGGTAACCACTTCCCATGAAGCCCCTGGGTCGGACCCCCTCCGGGAAATGTGGCATCAGGAATGGGGGATGAGGGAGGTGGGGGATGAGGGAGGTGGGGGCACTTGATTTTAAGTGGAGTGTAGCACTCTGAACTTTACAGCAGACCGGGGTTCAAAGACTATTTGAAATAATTTAAAATACTGTATATGTGCTTGATTGAGCTTGCAGACTGCAATGGAATCAATAGAAAATTCCCCCAAACTGCAAACCCCTCCCACCTGGCCCTCCAGGCAGGCTAAAGCAAATGCTCAAAGTATTTGAAAGATTTCAAATAGCATTTGAATCCAGGTCTGGTTGAAAGGCATTCCCCCTCGTCCGCTCTTGGAGAAGGGCCTTGCGTCACTCTGCTAGATTTTGTGAATGGACCGTGGAATGGTAGGGGTAGTTGGACGTGGAATGGGGGAAGAGGGGCCTTTCCCTTGGCCACTGTTCTGCCAACTTGGATTAGGGTCAAGCCGGAGCGTCCGCCAAAATGGCAAAGAGTTAAAGCGTAGGAGTAGAGGGACAGACCTGGGTTCAAAAACCATTAGGAATCTTTAAAAATACTTTGAAGCGTTTGCCTTCGACTGCCTTGAGAGCCAGATGATCGGAGTTTGCACTTTGCGGTTAGTCTATTGGTTCCATTGGGTCAGGCAAGCTCAATTAAGCCTGGCTTTCGTATTTTAAATGATTTCAAATAGTATTTGAACCCAGTCTGGAAAGTAGGGAGGGGAGAAAGGGTGCCTGGTTCTCTTCAGGAGCTCACGACTGCTGCTAGGAACAACAGGGACACCGTGCTGCCATTGTGATGAATGCCTGAGCAATTGAAGGCTTAAATGGAGAGAAACAGCAGAGGGGGATGGCCCGTGCTGACCGCATGGGAAAGGAAAACGAAATGAGGAATGACTCATGGGGATGTCACATATGTAAAAAGGTAAATGACAGATACTGTAATAGTCGGACTCTTTTAAGCCGGGTTACTTGCATTTTTTTTACCCCTTTTTCGTGATATCCAATTTGGTAGTTACAGTCTTGTCCCATCGCTGCAACTCCAGTATGGACTAGGGAGAGGAGAAGGTCGAGAGCCATGCGTCCTCCGAAACACGACCCTGCCAAGCCACACTGCTCGCTTAACCCGGAAGCCAGCCGCACCAATGTGTCGGAGGAAACCCTGTACAACTGGCGACCTGTAGTGACGCCTCAAGCACTGCGATGCAGTGCCTTAGACCGCTGCGTCACTAGGGAGGCCCCCTGGTTGCCAGTCTGTTTCTGCTTTAGCGAACGAGTCAATGTCTTGCCATAGCAACAATGTAGCCTTGTTGAACAGTCTGATACCCGGGCTAGATTCCTTCATCATTCAAGGCAAATATCCTAACTACTCATTAAAACTCCTGGCAATCTGCAACAACTTCTGTATTCCTAATGCAAAGGGGTCCTACAAAGAGATACAATATTACCTGTTGATTATGCAGTATGACTACTGGAAGACAGAGTTCAGTAAATGATTTGCAAACAAAATGTTTAAAGTAATGTTTGTCCCCCAAAATTTTTTTGGGAAACTCGTACATGATCTTATGTTGGAGATGTGGCTACATCCCACACCATTGGTTGCCTAGATATACTGTTTACACCTCAACCTCAAAATGTATTGAGAAGATACACAGTCCCCCCACGTATTTATTTGGACAGTGAAGCTACAACTTTAAAATTGGCTCTATACTCCAGCATTTCGGATTTTAGATAAAATGTTTCATATGAGGTGACAGCACAGAATGTCACCTTCTGTGCTGTCACCTGTTTTACCGTTTAGAAATGAATGCACTTGATGTATCTAGTCACAAATATGTTGGATGCATTTGCTGTTTGTTTTGGTTGTGTTTCAGATTATATTGTGTCCAATAGAAATGAATGGTAAATAATGTAGTGTGTCATTTTGGAGTCACTTTTGTTGTAAATAAGAATAGAATATCTTTCTAAACACTTCTACATTAATGTGGATGCTACCATGATTACGGATAATCACGAATGAATCGTGAATAATGATGAGTGAGAAAGTTACACATGACATTACTTACCATTCATTTCGATTGGGCACAAAATAATCTGAAATACAACCAAAACAAACTGATGTATATGAAAATACCCTCAAATAAAAAGGTGACATTCTGTACTGTCGCCTCATATAAAACATTTGATCTCAAATCCAAAATGCTGGAGTATAGAGCCAAATTAAAAGTTTTAGCTTCACTAACCAAATAAATACACTGTGCGCACAATTATTAGGCAAGTTGTATGTTTGAGGATTAATTGTATTATTGAACAACTGCAGTGCTCTCAGTCAATCCAAAGTGTTAATAAACCTCAAACCTGAATATTTAAGAAAGTAAATGCGAGGTTTTGGCTTTCTTTGGAGAATATCTATGTGTGCACAATTATTGGGCAACTATTAGTGTGCAGAATTATTATGCAACTAAATGAAAAACGAAAAGTTCCCCCATCTCACATGTTTATTTTCATCTGTTAAAGTGAGAATAATAAACAACTCAAAATTTACAAATAAACATTTCTGACATTTCAAAAAAGAATCAGTGACCAATATAGCCACCCTTCTTTTCAATAACAGTCATAAGCCTTCCATCCATGGATCTGTTGACGATCAACTTTTTATGCAGCAGCAAACACAGCCTCCCAGACACTGGTCAGAGAGGTGTAATGTTTTCCTTCACCGTAAATTGACCGTTTAAGAAGGGACCACAAGTTCTCAATAGGGTTTAGGTCAGGTGAGGAAGGGGGCCATGTCATTATTCTTTCATCTTTAAGGCCTTTACTGGCTAGCCACGCAGTGGAGTACTTAGATGCATGCGATGGAGCATTGTCCTGCATAAAAATCATGGTCTTCTTGAAAGACGCAGACTTTTTCCTGTACCACTGCCTGAAGAAAGTGTCTTCTAAAAACTGGCAGTAGGTTTGGGAGTTGAGTTTGAGTCCATCTTCAACCCGAAAAGGTCCAACTAGCTCATCTTTAATAATACCAGCCCATACCAGTACCCCACCTCCATCTTGCTGGCGTCTGAGTCAAAGTGGAGCTCCGTGCCTGTTACTGATCCAGCCACGGGCCCATCCATCTGGTCCGTTAAGAGTCACTCTCATCTCATCAGTCCATAAAACCTTTGAAAAATCTGTCTTCAGATATTTCTTGGCCCAGTCTTGACGTTTCAACTTATGTGTCTTGTTCAGTGGTGGTCGGGTTTCAGCCTTCCTTACCTTGGCCCTGTCTCTGAGCACTGAACACCTTGTACTTCTGGGCACTCCAGGTAGGTTGCAGTTCTGGAATATGACAGCACTGGAGGATAATGGGTTCCTGGTTGCTTCACGTTTGATTCTTCTCAAATCTTTGGCAGTTAATTAGCATATTTTTTTTCTCAACACGGTTCTTGTGACCCTGTTGACTATTTGCAACAAAACGTTTGATGGTTCTGTGATCACGCCCCAATATCCTAGCAATTTCAAGAGTGCTGCATCCCTCTGAAATACTATTTACAATTTCTGACTTTTCAGAGTCAGTTAAATCTCTTTCTTGGCACATTTTGCTTGAGGAAAAGAAGCTGCCTAATAATTATGCACACCTTGATATAGGGTGTTGATCTCCTTAGGCCACACCCTCCCTCATTACACAAATACACATCACCTGATATGCTTAAATCCAATAAGCGTTCCAGTTTATACAGCTTGGAGTTGGGAAATATACATAATAATGATGATATGGTCAAAATATTGACTTTCCTAATAATTGTTCACACAGTGTACATAAGGGGAGTGTATGCACCAGCAATCAAACAGTTTTGTTTTCTTTCAAATACTGGCGCAATGGAATTAATGCAATAAATCATAATAATATTACCAAAAGGTCAATCCAACATTCAAAATATTTGAAAGAAAACAAGTACTTTGAATCCAGGTCTGATAAGCACTGAACTATCCCTTTAAAATCAGTTGAGAAATACTGCATAGGCTACTTCCACTTTACCTGAAGGTATCTCCGATACGGTCACGGAAGTAGACAAAGTCTCTGTGGTCCTGGAGCATGAGGTCTCCTGTGTTAAAGTACACGTCTCCCTCCTTGAACACGTCCCTGAGGAGCTTCTTCTCTGACTGAATCTTATTCCCAGCGTACCCCAGGAAAGGATTCATGGCCGACACCGGGGCCACCAGGATGCCAGTCTCTCCTGCAGACACAAACAGGCAGGTTTTATATGAGGCGACAGTACAGAACGTAACCTTTTATTTGAGGGTATTTTTCATACATATCTGTTTTACCGTTTAGAAATGGAATGCACTTTATGTAGGCGGTTTGGTTGGTGAATGAGTAAGCCTGCCTAAGATCTGAAGACTCCCCGAACTCATCCCGAGCCTTTAGCTCAGTGGGATAACACAGTATAGCGGAGTGCAGGAGATCTTGGTTCAAACCCCAGTCAATCAGACATGCATTTATGCAGACACACACACACACAAACATCAATGCAATTCTATGACGCTGTAAGTCAAATAGTGCATGACAGCCATCATCGGAAATTATCCTATTTTATAAACCTTTGCTTACCTTTATTTGCTTTGACACATCGTCCTGCGGCGGTCCGTATGGGCTCATATGTTTGGGGATCACAACTCAAGAACTCAAAGGGCATATTAAGCTGCAGGACAACGAGACAAAGTGGAGAAGATGGAGATAGAAAGAATCCATTTCAGTTAAATAAAAGAAAGGCTTAATTTTTTGATTAAAGTGCAGCTAAATAGAATAGGAGACCGATACACACAGAGACCTACACACACACACACAGAGAGACCTATACACACACACACACACAGAGACCTATACACACACACACACACAGAGAGACCTATACACACACATACACACAGAGACCTATACACACACACACACACACAGAGACCTATACACACACACACACACACACAGACCTATACACACACACACACACACAGACCTATACACACACACACAGAGACCTATACACACACACACAGACCTATACACACACACAGAGACCTATACACACACACACAGAGACCTATACACACACACACACAGAGACCTATACACACACACACAGAGACCTATACACACACACACACACACAGAGAGAGACCTATACACACACACACAGAGACCTATACACACACACACAGAGACCTATATACACACACACAGAGACCTATACACACACACACAGAGACCTATACACACACACACACACACACACACAGAGACCTATACACACACACACACACACAGAGAGACCTATAAACACACACACAGAGACCTATACACACACACACAGAGACCTATACACACACACACACACACAGAGACCTATACACACACACACACACACAGAGAGACCTATAAACACACACACAGAGACCTATACACACACACACAGAGACCTATACACACACACACACACACAGAGACCTATACACACACACACAGAGACATATACACCACAAACACACACACAGAGACCTATACACACACACACACAGAGACCTATACACACACAGAGACCTATAAACACACACACACAAGAGACCTATAACACCACACCACCACACAGAGAGACCTATACACACACACACACACACAGAGACCTATACACACACACACACAGAAGACCATAAACACAACACACACAGAGACCTATACACACACACACACAGAGACCTATACACACCACACAGAGACCTATAACACACACACACAGAGACCTATACACACACACACACACAAAGAGACCTATAAACACACACAACACACACCAGAGACCTATAACACAAACTACACACACACAGAGACCTATACACACACCACACAGAGACCTATACACACACACACAACACACAGAGACCTATACACACACACACACAAGACCTATACAACACACAGAGACCTATAACACACACAACACAGAGACCCTATACAACACACAGAGAGACCTATACACACACACACACACACAGACCTATACACACACACACAGAGACCTATACACACACAGAGACCTATACACACCACACAGAGACCTATACACACACACAGAGACCTATACACACCACAGAGGACCTATACAACACACACACAGAGACCATCAACACACACGAGACTATAACACACAGAGACCTATACACACACACAACACACACACACAACACACACACAGAGACCTATACCACACACACACACCACAGACCTATACACACACACACACACACACACGAGACCTATACCCCACTATACACACACACCAGAGACCTATAACACACACACACACAGAGACCTATAAACAACACACACAGAGACCTATACACACACACAACCATACACACACACAGAGACCTAACACACAGAGACCTATCCACACAACAGAGACCCATCACACACACAGAGACCTATACACACACACACACACAGAGACCTATACACACACACAGAGACCTATACACACACACCACACACACAGAGAACCTATACACGTACACACCAAAGGACTAACACAAGAGAGACTATACACACACACAGAGACCTATACACTCCCAAGAGACCTATAACACACAAACACAACACCAGAACCGCTCCTTACCACAACTACACAGAGACCTATACACAACTACAACGGCAGCATGACACAACACACACATGAGACCTTACTTTAACACAACAACACACTAGGAAGACCTATCACAACACAGAGCACACACTTGTACATCACATTAGTTGATTTCTATAAAACATGCAAGTAGAACAGAATACATCTGATTCAGTATGTGTGCTTTTTATTTGGAGCAACCAAAGAAGGCTGTGCACACGCGTACATCTGGTTCCTGATCATTTAGCAAAACGATTGAGTTTCTCAACGGCTCAATGACAGGGGGAGCTACACTGGGGCGTGTGGAAAATCAGGCCCCCGGGGCAGAGCACATGCCCCTTTGCCCTTCCATTCGCTGAAGTATATAGTTTTTGTCATTGTTCTGAACCCACTGTAATATGTGTAATTTAATTAACATGGGGCCATCTATTGCTTTTATGTAACTAAATAATCTAAATTATAATTGCTGAATGAGTTTGTGCCCTTTTTTTTTAGTTTGAGCACCTGTCCCCCAAAAGGTCTGTGTAGGGCCCCGGGGTAAACAGTAGGACCCTGGGGTAGGTTTTTAGCTGCAAAACTGTCCGCAGAGCTTTTCTCCGGCGAGAGCAGTGCGCCAGCCACGTAGATGAAAAAATATATATAACCAGAGTAATTTTACACAGAGTAGCCTGCAGCTCTCATAGAGCTGCTGCTTACGCCCAGGTTTAATTTAACCTTTTACTGCAGTGGGCTAAATCAGGGTCACACAGAGGGATTATTGGTAGTCTAAAACAAATCGACTTTGAAACAAAAGTGTACACCTCACACACATGGTTATGGGCTTAAAAAAAGAAGACACCTGTACCATGTCAGATATAGAGTTGAAATGTATTCAATTTTGAGTATGCATCCCAATATTACACTTTATATAAATCACAGAAGACTGAAATATAACAAAACTGTTTGACATAGAAACACCGGATTTGTCGTATTTTTTTAAAATAATATTTTGTTATGATGACATTTTGAAAAATATGAATAACATTCCACTCATGAGGCCAAAGAGGGTGCTTTCGGTCATTGACTGCAGGAAAGGGCTACATGAATAGGAGCATCTCACGCGCTGCAAAAGTTCTGCGTCTAGTGTAGCAGGCCTGGGAAGTTTTATAGTTTCTATCCTTGTGAACTTCACACAGTTAACTACAAAGCAAAGTGCACCATGCCTGACCTTGTTGAAATAGCCCGCCCTTCCGATAGGTCCTATTTCATTGGTGTAGTTGACAAAGCCAATGCTGGCCTCAGTTAAACCGTAGGCCTCCCGGACATTGATCTTCCCAAAGCGTCTGGCAAACTCCCTCCAGACATCTGCCCTCAGACCACTCCCTGCTGCAACACGCACTTTGTGGACCCTTTCCTCAGGGACCTACAGAAAACATATTATTACGCAAACATACAATCTATTACTGAGTAATTACAAAGCTGTTATGTAACTACAAAATGTTTTTACACGGGTTATTCCTGTGTAGTTACTTAAATGTAAAGGCAACTTGAGGTTTTACCCTGTAGGACCTACAATATACTAGTAGTGCACTGTGATATTATAGTGGTAGTCTCTTTATCTGAGGCGTTCTTTAATCATTGTCCTGAAGACCCACAGGGTGTGCAGGCTTTTGTCCTAGCCCAGCACTAAACACAGCGGTGTCTCCATGACCAGGATTGAAGAGCACTGGGCTAGCAGATGGTGGTGTTCACGGCTAGAGTCAATTCCATTGTCACTCGGGCCCTACTCAAGAGACTCATTTAACTGAATAACGTCTGAAAAGTGACCCGAAAAAACCCCCAAGACGAACCAGAGTGATGAATACAAGGTCTTACCACAGGCTGGTTGACCAGGTAGCGACAGAGCTCGCCGACGTATTGAAATACGGTCACATTATATTTCACGCAGTCTTTCCAAAATTGACTGGCAGAAAACTTATTTTTCAATATGCACGTTGCCCCTAGAACCCCAAGAAAATACCCGTTAGAGTAACATCACAGTCACTATGACAACACAAATAAAATAAAAGTTGATTTATTTAACTTTAAGTTTTGTACATTAGATGACATTACCTCCCCACTAACACTGATTGACTGTATTTTAACATCTTAAATCATGTGTTTTAACATCTTAAATCATGTGTTTTAACATCTTAAATCATGTGTTTTAACATCTTAAATCATGTGATTTAACATATTAAATATCTTTACCTTTGATAGGACCTTTGTTTTGGGTGGGCAGTTGGATGGTACATATAGTATTCCTACACTGCATCTCGTATTGTTGAAATGAGACTATGACATTATGTTGAAATGCCTAATCCTAACAATACGGACACCCATGATCCTTTTGGTTTCCTGCTACCACATCCTAACCCCGGAATCTACAGCACATGGGTATGTATGGTTGCACTTCCAGGAATTGTGAGACTTTAGTCAGATTCTCCCACTGCCACATCTTTTCCCTCCATGCTAAAATGACACTGTGGGGAATCTAGTTAGCTAGCTGGGAACCAGTCGAACGAATCCCGTTGAAAAAAAATAGGAATCCAGTAACACATTGGAAACCTTGACCGGGGTAGTTCCTGACTTCCTTTGGTTCTAGAACTCAGAACTTTTTTGGACTGCGCTCTCTTGTGACCCTCCTGACAAAACAGAAAACATTGTTTTGAAGTCATGACATGGGAGGAGCTAGCAGGCAACCCAGCCAAACAGTAGGAAGGAACAGCAGGAAGAGGCCTGTAATTTGGTAGCCACTGCTCTGTACGCTAATGTGTATGTGGCAACAGATATGGGGAGCCGACCTGGGTTAAAATACTATTTAAAAATATATATATGTGACTGATTGAACTTGTCGACTGCAATGGAACCAATAGAAAAGTCTCAAAAGTACAAACCCCATCCACCTGGCAATTCAGGCAGGCTAAAGCAAACAGTTGAACAAGTTCAGTATCTGAACCCATGTCTGTTATGGAAGCTATAATAGGTGCAGTTTGTTACTCTGCGTATGCACTGTAGTCTACTGAATTAGTGACACAACCTCTGCTTCGGGTACAGTCAACCTCTGCTAAGGGACCTCTATTTAAGTGCAGTACAGTTTCCCGGTCTCAATTCAATTCAATTATTTTCAGTCCTGTTTAGTGTGAATTGTCACGACAACCCCAAGCTGTCGCATCCTGTATCAGGAGAAATAACGTATTGAAATGCATCCCTCACCAAGCTGTATGCATCCACCAATACCCAGCAGAGAGGCGGTCATGTGGTATAGGGGCAGAGTGATGTAAATGTTGTCATCCGAACGGGCTCCGCATAGCCCAAGGAAGGCCATGCACATGACGGCTTTGAGATGTCCCACCCGGGCTGCCTTAGGAAGTCCTGGAAGACAGAGTACAGTGAAGGTGCCTCCTAGACGCTGATCTCGGGTCAGTTTTGCATTCTCCCCAATAATGGTTAAGGATAGGATTGAGGGAGGGGAAGTTGATCCTAGATCTGTACCAATGGGAAACTACATCACTCATAAGCCACGTGACATTAAACATTGTCACTGATTTCTACTAAAGAGTTGTAAAGCTTTCCCTCGAACTGTGGTCCTCTGTAGCTCAATCGGTAGAGCATGGCGCTTGTAACGCCAGGGTAGTGGGTTCGATCCCCGGGACCACCCATACATAAACATTTATGCACACATGACTGTAAGTTGCTTTGGATAAAAGCGTCTGCTAAATGGCATATTATTATTAACTGCCAGAGGCACACAGCACCAACAGCTATTTTTATTGTATCTGCATGAACAAAACTTGACTGAAAGTATGAGAATAGAATGCAGCATTGGTTGAACAAAGGTCAAATAGGAGGTGCTTACATGTCTGTCCTGTTTGACTGCGTGTGGTTTTTGCATATCCCAAGTCCCCCTGAGACACAGAGAGTGGGGGTCACAGCCAGGGATCAGCCATTATTGACAGCAACCCTGGAGCAATTAGAGTTAAGTGCGTTGTTCACCTTTCGGCTCAGGGATTTGACCTAGCAACCTTTCGGTTACAGGCCCAACGCTCTAACCACTATGCTAGCTGCTGGCCCACTATGCTAGCTGCAGGCCCTCTATGCTAGCTGCAGGCCCTCTATGCTAGCTGCAGGCCCTCTATGCTAGCTGCAGGCCCTCTATGCTAGCTGCAGGCCCTCTATGCTAGCTGCAGGCCCTCTATGCTAGCTGCAGGCCAACTATGCCAGCTGCAGGCCAACTATGCCAGCTGCAGGCCCTCTATGCTAGCTGCAGGCCCTCTATGCTAGCTGCAGGCCCTCTATGCTAGCTGCAGGCCCTCTATGCCAGCTGCAGGCCCTCTATGCTAGCTGCAGGCCCTCTATGCTAGCTGCAGGCCCTCTATGCTAGCTGCAGGCCCTCTATGCTAGCTGCAGGCCCTCTATGCCAGCTGCAGGCCCTCTATGCTAGCTGCAGGCCCTCTATGCTAGCTGCAGGCCCTCTATGCTAGCTGCAGGCCCTCTATGCTAGCTGCAGACCCTCTATGCTAGCTGCCGTGCACACTGTAGCTCAATCAGTTATAGCACACTGAAATGATAATGATCTGGACAGGAACAGAAGAGATTGGCTTCATCCAATGTGGCAAAGCTGCAAGCTGCAAAAAAACTGTCGTGTTTAAAAAAAAACAAAAAAAGCTTTTTGCAACGGAAAACTAAAATGAGCATTTCTTATTGTACAAGTCCAGGTAGTCCCGCTCGGACTTCTAGGTCCACACCAAAATACAATTTACCTTAAGGACTATGATGTCTCTTTTATGAAGTCTACAGTAAAGGTCAAGGTTCAGCAACGTCTCTTTTAACAGGGTGTGGGTCTTGTTTTACTACTGCACAGAGCCCTGGTAATGGTAAAGCCCTGGTAAAGGAGGGACATTGGCAGCCATTTATACACATTTAGCACAAATTCACCAGGACTAGACGCCGAAGAAACAGCTAGCTTGATATCAATCTGAAACACATTTCCTTCTCAGTAAAATGAAGTTGTTTCAGACACTGTGAATTACAACTCTCCTTGGGAACCCAGTTGGCTAGGAAAACCCCTCCTTATATTGGTGTTGAACAGAGCTGTTAAAAGTGAGCGTGTGGTGCCAGCTTGGAATAATGAGAGAAATCCGTCCGGCCTAATGGATGTGCTGCTGACTTGAGTGTGGAAGAACTGTGTTTTCAACCTAGTGCAATAGGGTAGCTATTTTCTCTTCTCAGTTCTCTTTTGGAGGGTACTGGCAGATAGACATTTAGGTTATCTCACCTTATGTTCTCGGACAATATTTGTAGGCTAGTTTCCGTCTTTATGCAAACGGTTGCATTGATATCCACGCAAATGATTTTGGTTTAGATACTATTGTTTCCGTATCTATGCAAATCCCTATCCATTCACCTTTTGCCTTGAGACCAATGTTTTAGATATGGAGTAATGACCTCGCAGCAATTCAAGTTTTTTTTATAATGGTTACTGTCACCTCTGGATGCCAACTCCAAGCTATATAAATGAAATACATTCTCTACATCATTTTTAGTCGCCCAGCGCTATAGTTTAGTGTAAGCATTGACAGCATATTTTGGAGTTGACTGTATACCTGTTCTTCCTGATATGAAGTTGACCGTACTACTGTGGGCCTGGTTGGTCTTGTGGTAATGCGGCTACCGTTTCAGCATAGGTTTGAATCCGGCCTACTGCCCTTTGACACATCCTCTCTCTATCGGTTCAATAAAATCAACAAATACCTTTAAAAAATAAAAAAAAATTAAATGTAAGAATAGAGTACTACCGGTTGTTCCTGATGTGAAGATGAACAGGAAGTTGGACATGAGGTCAGCTCTAGGAGAGTCAGGTAAGGCCAGGTCTGAGGCCTGCTCCACCTTGTCCAGTAACGTGTTGACCCCTTCGTGAGGGCAGCCAATGTCCGTGACCCACACCTCAATGGCATTCTCCTTAAGGGAGGGTAACACCTCGCCCAGTGAACTCACCAAATCTGTGTGTGAGAGAGAGAAAATAAATAGTGAATGTTGGGGGGTAGGGTTGCAAAATACCAGTAACGTTTACCAAAAGTCCCATGTTTTCAGAAATCCTGGTCAGAAGGTTCCCGATATCAGAGGGAATAAGAAGGAAATCCAGAATCCTCCAACCAAGATTTCTGGAGAGCCTGGGAATGTTACCAAAATGTTGCAACCCCCTATCTGGGGATTACTTGTATGTAAGGCACTATTTGGAAATATACAGTACACCCCCTGCTGCTACAATCAAAAACATATGAACTCAAAAGTAAGATACAGAGACCTACCCTCGTTCACATAAGGCGTTATAACTAAAACAAAGACCTAAGCTCTTTCACATAAGACATTATGAAAACCAAACTTAAAGCCTGTTTAATTGAGTAAGGGCCTTAGTTGTGCATGCACTTGAAATATTTCATTCCTACAGTGAGACTATAGTACACAGAGAGACTGTCCTCTACAATGTAATGTGCACGATGTGAAAAGCCTCCATTGAACAAGAAGACTAGAATATTGACTATAGTACATTTAAGCAAAGCTGAGAGAGATTTCTCAATCTCTTATTTGCGCAATAACGTGCATGACATCATGCTATGGTGGCTGATTTTTTAAGCACAGTTTACACTTGTAAGTGTTTTGATACTGTGAGTAGAAACACGTGCATAGAAGAGGCATGCGTTTCTTCTTAACCTAGCTATCCTTTGCAATGCTCAGAAGAACTTTGGCCTCTCGCAATTAACTAACTGTAAATCTGTACATCTAAATTTGTCGGAGTAAAATAATAATATTTTATGTTACTATGTGCTCAATTGGGAATAAAGGTTTTATTCAATATAAATCATTGTCCATTAAATGCTATTTAGATCCGTTTCACATTCAGGAGATGGGGGTATGTATACTAACGGTGTCCCTACATGTCTACAGGTGTTTGATAACAGCCTACGTTGACCATCGGAATCCAGTATCACCCTCATTATTATAAAACAATCTATTTACAACCACCAGTGACAACGCAGTTGCGAAATATACCCTACATAAAACCATGCAGCTTTATTACAACGTTTCCTCTCCTAATATGAAGTTATGGCACTCAAATGTGAACGTGATTCAACATGTCAAAGTCGTGCACAGGTTTGAGCTTGTTACATATTCTGAATATGCAAGAAGACATAAAGTCAAATACGTAACATTCTTAATTGACAGCAATAAATACCTGCGCCTACGACGAGTGATTTCGCTCCACAACTTTCAAAACAATATAGGAGCGATTTGGATTTGATATTGAAATTAAGGAAGGCGACCTCGCAGCCCAGTTTACTGAGTCCAAACCACACACAAATAAAATCAGGCTCGTTGCTCATCAGTAGCGCTACAATATCACCCTTCTTCAAGCCACCTTCTGTTCTGAATACTTTCGCGAATTGGTTGCTTCTTTTATCAACGTCCTGGTAAGTGAGCGTTTGACTGTCAAACACTATGAAAGCCTTGTCAGGCGTCTTCTTTGCCTGATAAAGAAAGCTGTCGAGGTAAGTGATGACTCCTCTCTGCATACGAGACTTCAACGCCTTTCCAACCTTCCGAAGGTTTAGGTAATAAATAAAATCCTCCCAAAAGAATGGGTAAGTCATCCTTTGGAATACCAGAATTGCAAAAAGTCCTGCGGCGACTGTAGTAAACGTCCATGTTATCCATACCATCATCTCCAAAGAATGTCAGCTTGTAAACGTTCGGAGATGTTTACCCTAAGATTTAAATGCCTCTAGTATTCACATGCTACCGCGCATGCCCAAGGAAATCACATTCCCCATTGCGCAAAACATGTAGCCGACAACAGGGTTTCCCAAACTCGGTCCTGGCCCCCCCCCCCCCCCCCCCCCTGGGTGCACGTTTTGGTTTTCTAAATTGGTTATGGCAAGGTTTATTATATGCATATTGTATGTGTTATAGCTCTTATAAATACAATACAAGTCAGGGACAGTATGTCAGGGAAACATGGGGTAATTGTAGATATCCAAATTGTAGATAAGAACAGTTAATACTGATCCAGGACCTATAGGGATAAGGCAGTTGGCCCTGGTGCTTAAGAGTGTTGGGCCAGTAACCGAAAGGTCGCTGGTTCAAGCCGGCAAAGTGGGAAAATCTGCCCTTCAGCAAGGCAGACAACAACAACTGCTTTGTCAATCTATAACTTGAAAGACAAAGAAGTCTATCTATGCATCCCCACGTCATAAAAGATTGGATGACACAATATCAATACACAATGTACCTACACTACGCTTCGCAGGTTCCCGTGTCAAAGATCAAGTTGACAGCATTGAGTTGTTAGACATTAATGTAGTGTGTTTTAACATTGAATCAATGTCCATCCCCTCAATGCATGTAATTACTCAACATGTAATTTTTTGGTGCCCTTTCTCTTTAGAAAATGCACTAAACTTAGTGATAATGTACAAAGCAGAGGCTGATACATTTTTTGGGGTGAAACAAAACATTGTAATCAGCTTGAATGACTGCAAACGTCAACAATATTTTATTTGTGCTTCCGAACATGTGTATACTATGCACATGAACATATTAATGCTTGTAGTCATATTATGCAGTTTTCATGTCAAGGCTATACTGGTGCTATAAATTAAACTGTTACTACAGCTACTAATATAGCTATACTGTACCCCAGGTTTGCCCAACCCTGTTCCTGGAGAGCTACCCTCCTGTAGGTTTTCGCTCCAACCCTGTTCCTGGAGAGCTACCCTCCTGTAGGTTTTCGCTCCAACCCTGTTCCTGGAGAGCTACCCTCCTGTAGGTTTTCGCTCCAACCCTGTTCCTGGAGAGCTACCCTCCTGTAGGTTTTCGCTCCAACCCTGTTCCTGGAGAGCTACCCTCCTGTAGGTTTTCGCTCCAATCCCAGGTGTTACTAACCTGATTCATCTTATCAACCTGCTAATTATTAGAATCAGGTGTGCTAGATTAGGGTTGCAGCAAAAACCTACAGGGTGGTAGCTCTCCAGGAACAGGGTTGGGCAGTCCTTCTGTACACTGTAGAATCCACGACACGGTGCCATTCGGCACACCAACCCCCAAGCGGAGCCCAAGTATAGTGATCCTTTTCACTGTGAAATAGAAATCTTTCATTTGCGTCAGATCGTACAGTGGTTTGGCATTAGCGCCACAAAAATTACATTTTAATCCTTTTTGAGTGAATTACGATATCCCATTGAGGAATATGTTGAAATCGTTAAATCAATTATTCCATCAGTTACACATGGATAACTATTTCTCAATCTCTTTTTTCCAAACCAATGTAACCTCATAATTATTGCTTTCAAAAAATGGCTGATCAACAAATCAAAGATGGGTTTACATTCATCAAAAGGTTAACGGTCCACAACAAAACAACAAGAACAATCTGGAGTGGAGAGGTTCTTTTTTGGGTAACACTGTATAATAACTTTAATGAATAACCCTTTGTAAATTCTTATAAATGTTTCTAAATGCTTATAAATGCTTTATAAATGATTCTATATGCTGAAAGGAAAATGAAGTCCACATTTGACGAGGCGCGTTAAACTGAGTTGTGGACTTTAAACCAATAGATAGAGCAGGATTTTCTGTCAGGCACTTGTTAAACACTTACTCTCTTTTAATTAACCTTTTTAGGGCAAAGGTCAAGTTTAGGGTTGTGATCCTAACAAATGTCAAATTTCGAATTTCCTGTATTTTACTGGCAACCATAAGGTTTCAATGCTGAAATGTTAACAAGCGGGCAACCATGCCATCTGTCTGTGAAGCAGGAAATTACAGACCCAAAGTTCACTTCGCCATATATGTTATTAACCATAAGCTTTCCTTTAAAACATAGGACAGATTCCAAACATTTTTGGAGTTCAATAATTGTTAAATTGAAGTTTTATGATTATGGCAGTGACTTGCAGGATTTAATGTATTTACAAAACTAATACCAATACAATACCCCCCCATGGGTCAAGTGCACAACAGCAGTAGGTGGCACCTGAGATTCTTCTGCTAGCAACCAGAGCCAGCTCACTCCCGCCAGATTTTCCCCTCAGCCCTGGGATCTGAACTGGCAACCCTTAAGTTACGGGCGTCATCAGATGTCTGAACTGGCAACCCTTCAGTTACGGGCCCATCATCAGAGGTCATTGATGGGAACTCTAGTTTCAGAAGTCCCTCTGTTTCACCAGGTGGTGGTGCTATTGTACAAGATAATCTGTTTCACCAGGTGGTGGTGCTATAGTACAAGAGAATCTGTTTCACCAGGTGGTGGTGCTATTGTACAAGATAATCTGTCTGGAAATCCAGTTGCAGTGTCGTCTGAGTTTCATTCAGAGAAAGGGGAAGGCAAACAACCTTTTATTCTCAGACCTCTTTTACTGGTTCCTCAGGTGGACTTGGCTCTTGCTTCATATATACCCTAACCCGATGAGTAAAACCATGAGATTACATTTGACAGACAATCTTATCCAGAGCGATTTATAGGAGCAATTAGGATTAAGTGCCTTGCTCAAGGGTACATCGACAGATTTTTCACCTAGTTAGCTCAGGGATTGGAACCAGCAACCTTTCGGTTACTGGCCCAACACTCTTAACCTCTAGACTACCTGCCGTTTGATGAATCACAATTTACCCCTCACAATGTGATTCATCAAACGCTTTATTCAAAGCAACTGACAGTTACAGTGATAGTTGACTCCAAAATCAACATTTGCTAGGTTCCCAGATTACATGAATCACTGAATTACAAGTAGGACTAGAATGCTCCAGTTCTCACTGACAAAACAACACACCTTGACAATCAACAGTTCTTGCCTGGGCCCAGTGGGGTTTTGCCTAAATAGAAGTGAAGTAACCCAAAACTGCTTATCTCTGATGTTCTTGACAAAGCCCTTGTGTTGGAATAATGATAAGGACTAAAAGTACATAGAAGTGAAGTTTCTCAGGACATGAGACAGGTCTTCCTCGTAAAAGATGTGTCCTGACCCTCTATAGGACTTCCTGGATTGATAAAGGTTCAACTAAAAAGACCCAGAGACCTTCCTCCAGGGAGGGGTACAGTTTCTTCACCAGAATCCTAATGACTGTTTTGAAAGAACCAAAATGCTCATATGAACTGAGAATAATTCTGAGCCCATCCAAAGTCCATTGATGCCTTTATATGAATGTTCCTCGTAGCCTACTAAAAAGTTACAATGAATAAACACTGGTGTCTACGTAATAATTCATGAAAATGTTTGATTCGTGGTAGAGCATTGTCAAAGACATACGTAGGCTAACATCCATAAAAGGTCCAAAGGTTCAGGGCACTGACTGACCGTCTAGGGCATATTACGGTCAGTAAGTCAGTGACCTCAAACTTTTTCAAAACAATCAGCGTCTGTGTTTTCATTCTGTGAGCCGGTAAATTCAATTTCAGACTGCCGGCTGGGAAGAGTTGCATAAATAGCTGGTATTGATACTTCATTTGCAACTGATGCAATGTGACTAGCACATGTGTTGTTGCTGAAACAACAGGCCTCGCTTTTAAACCTGTCCTTGTCGATCACGCAGGAGAAGGTTTGCGAAGTAGCTCTGGCAGTATTGTCTGTGGCAAAACTGATGATGATAACCTTGATGATGTTACATTGATGAATGACGTTACATTCAGAAATATTATATTGTTAAAGGCCCAGGGCAGTCCTGTGTGTTATATATATTTCCACACTAGGAGGTTGGAATAATACTGTGAAATTGTGAAAATTATGATGATGCCCTTTTAGTGTAAGAGCTCTCCACTCAGACCACTCCCAGACAGTCCTAGCTGCATTTTTGCTTGAGAAATTGCTCTTTGCTAAGAAGCTATTTTTGTTTCTTTTTTTTACCATTTTTAATTGACAACAATCACCGTAAGGTACTTAATTGTTACCCAGAAATGATTTGAAATTGAAATAAAAAACAACGTCTGCATTGGACCTTTAAAATGAAACTGAAAATTTCTGCAAATGAAATTGTGAATAAAAGATTTCACAATATTAATTCCGAGTCGGGTATAGCCTACTGTCGCTGGCCTGAAACAATGTCCTCCTGACCACATTTTAGGAAAGATAGGGTAGCAATAGGTGTCAAAAGAAAATCTTGACCTATCCATAGAGGGACCAAAATGCCCATATTAGCACGGGCAGTGGCATTGAGGGCTTCCACCATTTTAATGTAGTCAACTGGGTGGGACTTCCAACTTCATTGGCTGATCCTTCCTGCTGACCCAGTTGGAGTCATGTCCAACCGGGTCAACGGGAGGGATCAGCCAATTGTGAAGAACATAAGTGACTACTTTAAAATGGAGATAGCCCAGTGGCGATTTTAGTATGTAAATCTTGGTGGGGCAAACAAAAACAAATTGGGGGGATGCATGCCAGCAAAGCCACTACACAACACAACACAACACTAAACAATAGATTAATTGCACTATAACGGTGACAAACGGTGCCCACACACTGTTAGGGTCTCTATAAAGCTGTCCCAACAGCAGAGTCCCAACAGCAGTCCCAACATCTTACCACTACTACACCTGGCTATCAGCGGAGCCTTGTCTGGCAGAGAAACAGATCATTCAGCCTCATTTACTGCCTTTAAAAAAAACATAGCTGATATGGCTGACTTGCTTAAACAAATGTGGTTTCTACTGACAATTGAGATGTACAAACTA